ATGCACTAATTTTTTTTGCTAACAAAAAAATTTCGGGAAATAAATTAATCTAGTTTGATTCTTTTTTAAATTTAGACTTTATATCATTCATTATAGAACATTATTTAAATTTATCAACTCTAAACGTTTAAAATACACCTTATGCAGTGAAACTAAATTTCAGTTATATCTAATAAGATGATGATGATATATTACAAACCAAAATAATTTGTGTAAATAATTCAAATAGGCTAGCAAATAGCAAGACTCTCTCATGAATTAATTATTTAAGTCTGTATGATATATTTTAATTCTTGTATAAAAAAAACTGTTGCACTGCAGCAGACTATTAAAAGCTGTTTTTTACAGTATTATCTTGTAAAATATTAATCAATTCAAGCTGATATAGGATCAATTAGTTGTACTCTAGAGATAAAATGATTAATCAATTTTTAATGAAACTAGTGAGCTTAACATAAAGTTTTTTTATTTACCTGGGCCTACTCGAAAATGTCACTTTAAAATAAACGGCTTCAAATTTTAATCATCCATAATGGTTACATTTTGGACTACTTTGTTTTGAATCTCATTATTATTACTATTATTTAAATTGTATATTACGAGTACAGTTTTTTAGTATTTTATATTTGAAAATCTCTTAATATAATGCAATTATTTAAATATCTTATAATCATAAAAATAGTAAAATATAAGTTGCTATATGATACCCGTATAGAAACACTAATATTTATAATCAAACATATATTAGTTTGTTATTAAATCTCCGTAGAAAGATTATTTTTTTGTCCTTATTTTCTATTACTGTTGTTCGGTCGTGATGAAACAGTTTGGTAGTTTTTTCTCTTCAACAAGAGCGCGACCTGTCACAACTGGTTTACTTGTTTGGGTAGTGTGTGGCGGTGGTCGCGAAGGCGTCATTCGCGTACCGGCCTGCCTAGAATACTCATGTGTAGTGTCACGGATTCGGTTGTTTTTAACACGCTTTTATTAGTTTCACTTGTATGTATGTATGTATGTATGTATGTATGTATGTATGTATGTATGTATGTATGTATGTA